CTCACTGACATCAAGAAGGTATATTTCCAATGGACACTACCATGCGAAATATGGATTGGACAACTTAACTGAAGGCCCACTTTGCTATTTATGGAATGTTCTCTTCTCACTGTAAAGAGAGGACCCGAGTTCTGCCAAGAAAATGTAAAAGCTGTAGTTTCCTATAATAGTGGTGCATATTTCTGTTTTAGACCATAGCACAGTATTTGTAGAAGTCACTGCTTCAGTAAGAATTGATTATGTGTTCATTTCTCAAGGACAATGGGTCTGTGTGGCAAATACCTTCAGAATTTTTTTTTTTTTTGGGGGGGGATAAGCTAAACTAAGGCAGATTTCTTTGTGAAAATAGGGGATGTGGCAAAACAAAGGGCAGTTAGATTCAAAGTTTGAAATTTTTGGGTATCATAGCTATAGGTGGTAGGGAATGGTGAAAGGTTAGAAGAGGGTGGAAATATCCAGAGACCACATCCATTTGCTCTTCTTGTTTTCCGCTTCAGGGGTAGTGACTTCTTTTGAAAAATGAAAGGTTTATTTTCATAACAGGCAGTGAGGAATAGTTAGGCAGATGTGTGTGGGTTGGTTCTGGCCCTTGATTAGCAGACGGGAATGATACTGCCTTTAAGTTTCACCAAATATATCCGTCAAAACACATACAAGGGACCTCCACTTGGATTGCACAATCAAGATCCCAAATTTCAATGCAGCGATCGTGCTGTTTTAGGAAAGTTTAAATGGAGCCAAATTTCCATTTCCAGAACTGTTCTCAGATGTGGTTAACAGATTACATGGACTTTTTCATCTCCTCTTCTTTGCTCCTCTAGGTTGAAAAGTCTAAAATCAAGGCATTTTTGAAACATTTTCTGTGTTCTGATCAAGGAAGTACTTGATAGAGGCCAGATGTCATTCTGCTACCAGAGTATCCTTTCTCAGAACCACAGCAAGAATGTTCCCAAACCTTTTAAAGAAAGTACATGCCATGTACATGTAGATGCTGTTGTCAGAGTAGTTCAGACTTTGGGCAGCTAAAATTGGAATGTGCCTTTGAGAACACTATAAAGTTCACTGTGCGGTGGTGCATGTGTGTCAGTGTAGGTGTTCCCCTCTCCTGCTTTCTCATTTTTTTTCCCCTCATACGTGCAGGTTTTTGTGCTGTTAATCCTCTTGGAATGTAGCTCTTATCAGCACCTAGAGGAATTCATTACCCCTTCACCTTCGCTGTTCTCCAGCATATGAGGCTAAGGAACAAGACAGCAATTGTCTAGGGAGCTGAACCCTGAATTCAGGTGTGCTGGCACTGAGTTACTGTCTACCTGATTTTTCCTATAATCAAAAGGGAAGGGGAGAAATTAATAATGCTTCTCTCTCCAAGGGAGCAGGAGCAAAAGAGCCTTCAGGAATAGAGGCCAAGGCCCCCTGCCATTAAATCCAGCTATTTTAAAGCTAAGGGTTAAAAAAGAAAAAACAAAAAAAAGCAGCAGGTTAGCAGATTGAAAAGGGATTCTAAGCTGTGTCTGTATAACAGAGCAAATGATCAATACAGTGGAGGTAAAAACTAGTTAAGCCAGTTATTTGGGATAATGTTTAAAAGAGAGAAAATCATGCTTGTTTACCTATATACATATATATATAAACTGCTGCTGGTTATATAGTAGACTCAAAACCAAAATATTTTGTATTTTATATAAAGCCTGCAAAAACTCATTTTATGTTCTTTAAGTATATGCCCTTCTCTATCACCCTTAAATTGCCAGTTTTGTTCACACAAGAAAATAAACTTACGATACAAATATAGCACCACCTCTTTTGGTTGTAAACCATGAGGCTTTGCCACACTGTCAGGCATTTACAAAAAGTAAAAGGCAAGACACAAACACCCATCAGTCTCTGGCTCTTTCTTCAACCACGTAAACTGAGATGTACACTGAAATGGGAAACTACCCAAGCCAGAAAGGTAGCCAAATAGACTGGAAAAGAGATATAGCAACATTCTTAGAATCCATTAAAAGGCAACAGAAAGCAACCATTAATTGAACAACACTCAACTAGATTGACAAGATAGAACTGAAATGGCACAGGGGGCTTCCACCCTCTTAAAGAGCCATGTCAAGGAGCAGGGAATTTATAACCAAAACCCTCAGATATTTCTAGAAGCCAACAGGGAAACCTTATACCAAAGACTACATCATTGTTAGCTATGTTTTTACAAGGTTGATTTATAGCTGCATTAAAAAAAAAAAATCTCAATCTATAACTCCTCACTACTGAAGGGAGAAGTGAATAAAAAAATTTTTATGTCCCATCCTTCAGTTTAAGGCTATGTAAATCAGTCATCAATTCTCAATATTTTATTAGATGAATCCCTTTGTTAACAATTATGCATGTCAGAACACCAGGAATAATGCAGTATTAACTAAAATACATCAGGTGTTGGAGAAAAGTTACTGACAAGGTAATATATTTATTTTTTAATGGGAAAGTTTAGTTCTTGGCAAAACAAAATATGTGTCATTAATTTAATTTTAATTTCTCAGGATTTTGAAAAGCATCTCAACCTCAAATGTTTTTACTGCAAATATGTTGCTATAGTCACACAATCTTCTACCATACATTAAGTTTATTCACTTAGCAAACATTATTCCTCTGTATTCCTGGTACTTACACACTTGGAGAAAAGCTTGCTATTGCTGGTTAGTGCATCTAAAAACACAAACACTGAGATGTCTGGCACTCCCTCCCAGCAAGTGCTCAGCTACAGAAGAAATATACAAATGCACCTCTCCCTCAGAGTTCTCACTGCTTTCCACCCATTGATTTCATAGTGGTGCATTTCATTTTCAAAACACTTCCATAAACATGATTGTGAACCATGCTGTGAGGTTAATTTTTGGTGATAACACAAAACCTGAGATTTGTTTTTCAGAAGGTTCTTGGCAGTGACTGAACATATGGTGTGATCTTTGCGGAGGGTAATTCCTCACTTGCTTCACCCATTCTCTGTATTGCTGAAGCCAAGAGCCTCAGTACTCCAAAGGAAACAAAAGAAAAAAAAAGTGAACCACACTCAGCCCTAGTCAGTCACTATCCACAGGATTTTAGGTCTACTTAAAATTTAAATTTAGGCCAGGCCTGGGGGCTCATGCCTATAATCCCAGCACTTTGGGAGGCTGAGGTGGGCAGATCACTTGAGGTCAGGAGCCCGCGACCAGCCTGGCCAACACGGTAAAACCCCGTCTCTACTAAAAATACAAAATAAAAAATAGCTGGGCGGGGTGGCACACACCTGTAGTCCCAGCTACTTGGGAGGCTGAGACATGGGTATTGCTTGAACCTAGGAGGCAGAGGCTGCAGTGAACGATCATGCCACTGCACTCCAGCCTGGGTGACACAGTGAGACTCCATCTCAAAAAATAAAATGAAATCAAAATATAATATAAATTTAGAAATTTGTATTAAGAGAGAAAAATTTAAATAATACATTTTTTAAAATGGCTATTAACATGGGGTGGGGGTGGTTAACACTGTGCTGATCTCTATTTTCTTCCAAAACCTACTTGGATGGTGAGAAATTAATTTTTAAAGGGTACAAGCCCAAAAGGACAACAAATGAGAAGATGAGACAAAAATGGCTGAGGTATGACACAACCATTCAGAAAGATGGAAAGCAGACAAAAGAGTGGGAACTCGATCCAGCAGAGGTCGCTAAGATTAAGGGCCCACAGATAAGAATACAGAGAAGCCAGTTGTCTGACGACCAAAGAACCCCCGGAAGGCTGAGAGGGATGACAGACCCACCTCACTCACAGCAGCCAAGCAACCATCCCCCAACCCTGTAGGACACATGTGGTTTCCTCTCTAGAAAACTGAACCCAAGAGGCTGAGACCCCAGGCATTATGGAGGGCAGGCTGAGGCTCCAGGTTGAAAACAAGTCTGTCTGGGCACTAACAGTGAGGCCTCCAGCTGTCTCCCATTCAATAGCCTGGGCAGTGAGTACTCTTAGACCCCCAGGCAGGAGATGTGAATTTCATTCCTGGGTAATGGAATCACCACAGTAGGAAGACATTTAGATGTTGACACTTTGGTGGGAGGACGGAGTAAAAGGTGGCTTGCAACAAACTGAATTTGCTGAAAGGAATGAATTCCTGCCTTTCAGTGCTTGGATGAGAATGGCAATTAATAGGAGACCAGAAGGAGAGGGTTAGAGGATAAACAGGGTAGTCTTTAATTTCCCTGACCTGGGCATTGAGAATCTTGGGTTTCATTCCGGCCCGTGTCTTTGACTCTTTCTCTTTTCTGAGACGAGGTCTTGCTCTGTTGCCCAGGCTGGAGTGCAGTGGCACCATCTCAGCTCACTGCAACCTCCGCCTCCTGGGTTCAAGAGATTCTCATGTCTCAGACTTCCGAGTAGCCAGGATTACAGGCATGTGCCACCACACTCGGCTAATTTTTTTTGTACTTTTAGTAGAGACAAGGTTTCACCATGTTGCTCAGTCTTGTCTCAAATTCTTGACCTCGAACGACCCACCTGCCTCGGCCTCCCCAAATGCTGGGATTACAGATGTGAGCCACCATGCCCGGCCTATGTGTCTATGACTCTTGATGTAGCCTGTGAGTCATTTCTCCTTTCTACACCTCAGCTTCCTCATTTGTAAACTGGAGGGTTATGGCCCTAGGGTCCTGCTATTCTCAGATGCTGGAACACTCTTCCCAGGTCTAAAATAACAGACGGAATGCTGGTGGTCTCTAACGTGACGCCAACTGCAGGCCTGAGACTTGGCTGACTTCGCAGGGTCCTTCTGCTCCCTCGGCAAGTGGCTGCCATTCTTAGATGTGATGCAATAACACCATTCTTCTTTTTTAAAAAAGGTTGTTTTAAACAAATTTGCACCGAAAGTAGAGGACAACATCCCAAGATAGTAAAAGCACCTAGGATATGTCAATACTGACTCTTCATTTTTCTACACAAGAAAGTAAAAGTATGATCAGGAAGGAATAGAGCCAATCCAAATTTAACTTCTTCACATGCACACTTTTTTTTTTTTTTTTTTTTCTTAATGAAACTCAGGGGAAAAGAGTGAAAAACTCAATAATATTTCCTTTCTTTTCAAGGGCCAGTTCTGAAACGGAGTAATAGTTAACATTTCCTAACATTTAGTACAGGTCAGAAGCACTGAGCTAGAAGCTTTCCAGGCCTTTTCTCATTAAATTCTCAGGTGTGCCCATCCTACAAAGGAGGGAAGTGAGGCTCCTAGATCTTAGTGATCTACTGGTACACATGAAGGTACCAGTGTCAGACGTAGGCCTCTCTGACTGTAGAGCCCACACTCCATCATTCCACTTCACTGCCTCCCCTCTACCCAGCCCCACTGTCCTCCGCTCAGATAGCCAGTCCCTGGCTGCCACAGGAAGGCTTCCCGCAGTCTCCTCTCCAACGATGTGTCCTGTGGCTTCAAAGGAATTGACATGATCGGTCCTTCTGCTGAAAAGTTAGAAGGTATTCTGAAAAATCAATACTGGTTTCGGCAAGAAGCAGCCTTGCCCAAAGCTAATTGAAGGCCATCTGAACATCTTCAGAACTGTGGCCATAATCATCTGTCTTGCTGCTTACCATGTCTCAACATACATCTGCAGTAAATCACTTCAGAATCACTTTTACATGTTCACTCATACCAAAGAGAGGACAACCATATTTTTTGTCACTGCCCTATAACTTCCCCATCTTAACTCAGAACACTAGTATTATGGTTACATAATAGACAGCCTGCTGACATTACTATTTTAAAGCACCACTTTCTCAGGGTTTATCACAAGTCGTTTTAAATTTCATTTAGCTCTAACTTGTTATACAATTTTATGTACAGAAACAATGTCCTCTGCTATATCAGCAAGCTATACTGGAAAATACAATTGCTGTGATTTGAAAAAAATTTCTTGGCAAGCTTTTGATTCCACCCTTTTAGCGGGCCATATACGGGGTGATAATGGAAAGAGAAGTTATATGACTTACCGTAAGATATTACTCAGGAAAACTAGAGGATATATATTTTGATAGCTAATCCAGATTAATGCTGCAGCCTTGAGCCTTCAATTTCGTTTACTATATATGAATTCAGTGACTAAACTGTTGTTCATGTAACTTTGCAAACCAAGCAATCAGTTTACTAGATCATCAGAGACTAATAACTCAGAGAAGAAACTGGCAAACTTGGTGGGGTGGACATCTGTAGTACGATCATTCAGTATCCATCCATTCCCACTTCTCCTAGCCCTACTTTGCTTTAGGGGACCCAGTGAAGCTGCCACCAATCTGAGCCCTGGGGTTGTTATATGACCAGGATGGATCCATCTGCACATTGTATTCTATGTGTCTCAGTTATGGGTTCAAGGCAGCTCAAAATGGGCAATGAGGCCAAGGACATACAAACCGAGGGCTTTGTTTAAGCTATTAGGAAACTGGACTTTTTTTGCTGGCCTTGAATGAAGAGGATGATGAGACTAAAGTTGACTTGACCATCCTGTGACCAGGTGGAGCTCAGAAAGGAGCCAGAAGAAGCAGAGTCAAGACATGCACAGGGCAGTGAACTCCCACTGAAAACGTTTCCTGGAACTCCTACCTAGTGATCTCTGTGTTAGCCACCCCTCACTGCAAACAAGGCTAGGAAATGCAGTCTTTTAGCTGGGGACATTATCCCTTTGAATAAAATCAGAGTGTGTCACTAAGGAAGAAGAAAAGAATGGGTACTGGGTAGGAAATTAGTGACCTCTTCTGTGGCCCACTTGGGTTGCATTTTCCATGCTCAGCATAGAAAACAGACAACTATCTGACATACATAAAAGAAGAATGGCATATTTCAGAGTCTAAATTAGGGATAGAATTAAAACACATGAGTCTTTGGTTTGTAAAATCTTTCATTAGGCAACAACCTGTTATTTTGCAGTAGCTTCATTGAAAATTATTACTCAATTGAAAAATAATGTAACTACAATTAAAAATGCAGGATCTGCAAGCATGTACATCAGCCCAATTTTGCATATTCAACTTAGATACTGAAAAAATGTTGTTAAAAATCCTAATTTCTTCTTACATTATAGGAAAAAATCAAGCTACATATTTATGAGCCCACTGTCTCCAGGCAAGAATCCTTCAGTTTCAAATTATGCCTTAGACTTCTACAGGTTAGGTTAGAAATGATAACAAATGTAGGAATCTTTGAATTGACATTTAGTTCTCCGGGGATAGCTTTAAAAAGTAGAGAATAATGGAAGTAGCTGCTTTTAAGAATTTTTTTCAGTAGTCACAAAGACACATCATACGTTAGAGGATATAAAGAATGCCAAAATGAGATTCTCTCTGAAATTATTTAGTGTTTTATGAGAAAAGGAAGATAAACAAAAAAACAATGGTTTATTGGACCAAGAGAAATAAGTGGCAGGGGAGTCACAGAAATGGAGTGCTAACAGACACTCTGCCTTTGGTCTTGAGTTATGAAGGCAACAATAAATGACCTTTATAGATCATAGTCACACAACTTCAGAACTGAGAGGAAGGTTGAAAACAACCACATTCAACTCTTTCACTTTCCTGAGGAGAAAAACTTGGACCTAAAAAAACTAGGCGATCTTTCTAATGTTCCCCAAGAAGTTCACAGCAAAGCCAGGATCAAAATATGGGTTTCCTACCTCGTGGAGCTGTAATACTCTTTCCACTAACATCCATTCAGAAGTCATGGAATTAGGAAGTCAGTCTGCCAGATGTTACTGCTAATTTACCTCTACATTTATTGTGAAGTCATTCTGAAATTATATTTTTAAAGGAAGGAGAGAGTGGTTGTAATACTATGACATCTGCCAAGGGTGATTAATGAGGAAAAATATATGACATCTTGCCTCACTGAACTAAACCAGGTCCAGGGTTTGCAGACAGACAGAGGCCTCCTGGATACAAAAGGAAGAGGCTGAGAGGTTGTCAGGGGTTTAACAGCTGGTGGGAATTTTATTTTCTGATGGAAGTGACTTCTTTGTTACAGTTTGCTTCAACTGCTTCCCACCTACAGCTGAAGTTCTCCTGAAACACTGAGCAGCTCTCAGCTATGTAACCCTCACCATAAGCGCTCCAAAAAAGTTAAAAACTAGAGTAATCAACAAGTGATACAAAAACTAGGTCTTCTGAAGGTCTTTCTTCAACGGAGCAAAAGATCAAGGATAGTATTTCAGAGTAGGTTACTCTGAGTGTACTACAAATGATACAAGGAATCCTTCTTAATAATACATTATCATCACTTGGCAGCTAGTAAATAGGAGAAATGCAGGGAATCCCCACTCAGCAGTTTATCTGGGTAAACCTAGAAAGTACTTAATAATACATTATCATCACTTGGCAGCTAGTAAATAGGAGAAATGCAGGGAATCCCCACTCAGCAGTTTATCTGGGTAAACCTAGAAAGTATAGACCTGGGATTTGGGAGTAGGAAGAAACCCCAGAGCTGGCCTAATAAATTGAGTTCCTTCATTTTGCAGGGCAGTCTAGGAAGAAAGCTAATAATCTCTGCTAAATCAAATGGACTAAAGAGTAGTTAGTGTTCTCAAAATCACAGCACACATGTTCAGCTGAAATATGTTTACAAACAAATACAGCCAAAAAGCCTCATATGAAGTCTCTCAGTTATCCAGAGTCAGTCACTTTCATAAGGTTTGACCTAAATATTTTCCTTTTCTCAATTAAAATAACCTTTATTGCTGGAATAACTGGCTAGCCATATGCAGAAGATCGAAAGTGGACCACTTTCTTACACCATATATAAAAATCAACTCAAGATGGATTAGACTTAAATGTAAAACCCAAAACTATAAAAACTCCTGAAAGACAACCTAGGCAATCCTCTTATGGACCTAGGGATGGGCAAAGATTTCATGATGAAGATGCCAAAAGCAATCGCAACAAAAGCAAAAACTGACAAATGGTATCTAATTAAACTTAAGAGTTTCTGCACAGCAAAAGAAACCATCAATCAACAGAGCAAACAGACAACCTAAAGAATGGGAGAAAATATTTGCAAACTATGCATCTGACAAAGGTCTAGTATCCAGCATCTATATGGTACTTAAATGAATTTACAGGAAAAAAACAAACAGCCCCATCCAAAAGTGGGCAAAGGATATGAACGGACACTTCTCAAAAGGAGACATACATGCCAACAAAAAGCATATGAAAAAAAGCTCAATATCACTGGTTATTACAGAAATGCAAATCAAAACCACAATGAGATACCATCTTACATCAGTCAGAATGCCTATTCCTAAAAAGTCAAAAAATAACAGAATAATAGATCCTGGCAAAGTTGCAGAGAAAAAGAACATGTATACACTGTTGGTGGGAGTGTAAATGAGTTCAACCATTGTGGAAAGCAGTGTGCAATTCCTCAAAGAGCTAAAAACAGAACTACCATTTGACTGAGCAACCCTATTACAGGATATATACTCAAAGGAATATAAATCATTCTACCATAAAGACATGCACACAATTGTTCACTGCAGCACTATTCACAATAGCAAAGACATGGAATCAGCCTAAATGCCCATCAATGACAGACTTGATAAAGACAATGTGGTACATATACACCATGGAATACTATGCGGCCATAAAAAAGAACAAAATCACGTCTTTTGTGTAAATGTGGATGAAGCTGGAGGCCATTATCCTTAGCAAACAAACATAGGAACAGAAAAATAAAAATATTGCATGTTCTCACTTGTAAGTGGGAGCTAAATTATGAGAAGTCATGGACACAAAGAGAGAACAACAGACACTGGGGCCTACTTGAGTGTAGAGGGTGGAAGGAGGGAAAGGATCAGAAAAAATAACTAATGAGTACTAGGCTTACCTGGAAGATGACATAATTTGTAAAACAAACTCCCACGACATGAGTTTACCTATGCAACAAAGCTGGACATGTACCTTCAAATCTAAAATTTTTTTAAAAAAATAACCTCTATGGATTCTTTCCTGCTTATTATGAAAGCAGTGTATGTTCAGAGTAGGAAAATTAAAAGACATAGATAAAATAGAAGAATGCCCCAAATCTTCCCACCCAGAGAACCACTTTAAAAACTCTTAAATACATTTCCAGAATATTTTCTAAGAATACATACATATATTAACCAAAATATGATCACATTGCATACTTGGCTTTTGTTGACATTTTATTACCTAACAATGTATCATAATCATCTTTTCATTATCAATATTTATCAACAACAGCATCTACTGTGGCTGAAGAGTATTTTATTGTATGACTGTGACATCATATACAGAATATATTTAATCTGTAATTGAAGCAATTTCCTGTTTACCATATTATAAACAATGATGTAATGAACATCTTGGTGGCTAAAACCTTTCCACATACCTTTAATTGTTTCCCTAGCACAAATTCCTAGAAATAAAACAGTAAATATATTTTAAAGGATTAAAAACAAGCATAGTGACAAACTGCCCTCCAGAAAGGGCATCATATACTTCAATTTACTTGACTTACTTACCTATCAAGTGTTATGATCAGCTTAGTACTAGATGAAGAGAAACTAAACAGGTACCCTTGGGTTGGTAAAGTATGAGAGATGTGCTTGTATCCATAATTCTGACAAATATTCTGGAAATGTATTTAAGAGTTTTTAAAGTGGTTCTCTGGGTGGGAAGATTTGGGGCATTCTTCTATTTTATCTATGTCTTCTAATTTTCCTACTCTGAACATACACTGCTTTCATAATAAGCAGGAAAGAATCCATAGTTTTTTAATTTTAGATTTGAGGGTACATGTCCAGGTTTGTTACATAGGTAAACTCGTGTCGTGGGGGTTTGTTTTACAGATTATGTCATCTTCCAGGCACTAAGCCTAGAATGTTTACTACAGACACCTTAATCAATTAGGTGATTTTATATTACATACTCCCTATTTATATACTTCCAGCCAAGACTGACATACATTCCATTTTGGCTCTTTCTTTGGGACCTGATGCCTTTTCTCCCTCCCCTGTGTTAAGTACTTTTCTTATACACTTACCAACATTCTTAAAAACATTCTAAATGGTCAGTTCCTGACAATATTATTGTAGTGCTGATTACATGCACCAGCTAAAAATCTCCATCCAAGTTATTCTCCCAATTAGATGCCAGATCAGTTTGAAGTCTGACATTTTAATGAAGTGACAAAAAAATTACATTTGAAGTTTAGGCAAAATCAACAAGTACCTTAAAGAGAGAAAGAAGAATGTATTTTATTGAAATTTTATTTGAAATTTTTTCACATTTTATTTGAAATTTTTTTATTTATTCATTTATATTCCACCTGATTCCACAAAGGACTTACAGCAGCTTTTCCTTTTAGATGTGTTTTCTAAATTGGACATTTCTGCCTCATTGAGACTGCCAACTTCTTTCCTAACATAAGGATATTTTTCTATCATAACCGCTATATTTGGAGACTGAATGGCAAGGATATTGTTCTTATCCAGAAAGGAGGAAAATATAACTCATTATGATCACAAACTCTCCTTGGAAGAGCCCCCAAACAGGGTGACCCTGGGTATGCAATACCAGTCCCAGAAAACACCAGGAAAAACTCAAATTTCTAGGGTGCATAAAACCTCCAAAGAATCACAGAAAGTCAGGCCTTTGGCTCTTCACTTCCCCCATGGGACTGTAAGGGCTCAGCTCCCCAACATCCTGACTTGTGTGAACATAATGGAAATGAAGGTACCAGCCCCACAGACACAGAGGAGCTGCACAGCAGGGAAGGCAGGCCCAGCATCAGACAGAAGAGGAAGGCTTCACTCCCCTGTAAAGCAGCTGCAAGAGAACAACCAGCCTCCTGTTAAGCTTGCCTTTCTCAGCATCCTCTTCCATTTTGTTTCCAGGTCCTCTTCCAATACCACCCTGCGGACTCTTCCGCAGCTCTGGTCTCCTGTCCCACATTTTGAAGCACAGTCATTTTGGTCTGCAGCCTTTCTAAGTCTTTATCTTTGGACTTGTTTTCCATCTGTCTTCCATTGGCCTACACCTTGCCCAGTATCTCTTGTGTTTCAGGGCCCTGTGCTGGCAGTACAAGACATGGTCCCAGGTGCAGTATTACACATTGAGTGATAGTTAGTGATAAGTCCATGGTACATGGTAGATAGACACTGGAAAGAAAACTTACTTTGCATGATTTAGAAAAAAGGGAGGGAGTGTCAAGTGCTATATTAAAGGGAGATTAGAGTAAAAGGAAAACAGATATTGAACTTACTTGGCATATTAAAAATGTTATAGTTGGCCAGGCACAGTGGCTCACGCCTGTAATCCCAGCACTTTGGGAGGCTGAGGCAGGCGGATCTCGATCAGGAGATCGAGACCATCCCGGCTAACACAGTGAAACCCCGTCTCTACTAAAAATACAAAAAATTAGCCAGGCATGGTGGCAGGTGCCCATAGTCCCAGCTACACAGGAGGCTGAGGCAGGAGAATTACTTGAACCCGGAGGCGGAGGTTGCAGTGAGCTGAGATCATACCACTGCACTCCAGCCTGGGCGACAGAGTGAGACTCTGTCTCAACATAAATAAATAAATAAATAAATAAATAAATAAATAAATAAATAAAAATTTTAAAAATTACGGTTAATTTTGCCTATCCTCTAAATGCTTCCAAATGCCACTGTTTTGGAAAGAAAGGATCACTTTCATTGTGAAACCTGATGTCTTCCTGTGGTTTCAAAACAGCCTTAAGAAAAACACAGTTTTTCATCTGAACCAGCAGAATATCCAAGCAGCAAAGGACAAATTCACCAATGAGACTCCTAACAGAAAACACCGTATCAACATTTCCCCCAGACTTCAACCTTATGCTTGAGCACATCACAATTAATTGCATCCTCTCAAGTAATTATTTTATTTGATCCTCACAATTTAGTCAGGTAAGTGTTACTATTCCCATTTTGGAGATGAGGAAACTTAGGTTCTCAGAGGTTCTATGATGTACTTGAGTCATTGAGTTTAGTTCAGTGGTTAAGAACATAGGTGCTGAAGTCAGACTGCCTAGGTTCAAATCCAGGCCCTGCCCAGGGTTAATCGTGAGACCTTGAGGAAATTACTTAGCTTTACTGTGCCTCCGTGTGTTCATCCATAAAACACAGATAAATGATAACACTAACCACCTCGCAGGGCTGTTGTGAGAATTGGTTGGGATAATGCATTAAAGCAGTTTTAGAATTAAGAAGTCGGTCTGCCAGTGACACATATGTGCACATACAGAGTAAGCACTTAAGAAATATTAGTAAAACTGAATTCCCAGAACTAAGTACTTTAGGGCCACAAGAGCTATCCTTATCTTTAACAGTTACATTGCTTCTGTGATTCATAATTTTATCAGCAGAGACATTAGCTGACTGTTTCTCACAAAAGCAAAATGCATGATAAAAGAAAACATTGAATTGGATAAAATGGCTCAAAAAGGAAGAGCAAGGGCAAAAGTTCAAGTGTGCCTTCTGAAAAGAACCCCATTTATTTTTGTTTCCAGAAAAATACTATACATGATTTAAGTATTTTCAGTCATTTTTCGAGCACAATGAAAGGTCAAGCTAAATGGAAGTAATATTTGTGTAACCCATGGTGACTGTCAGGAAGTCTGTTTCCCATGGTCAGGTCCTCAATCCGGACAATGCGGCACTTCTCTGGAGGACCACTCTGAGCAGAAAGGGCCGTGCCTCCCCACAGCCCTCCCCACCTCCCGCTGCACCCCCTCCATGTGAGCACTCTGAAAGAGCAGAGA